CTAATTTGTTATTTATTTATTTATTGTTCAAATTGAAACGTGGATTTTTTTTTGGTTGAAGATGCTAACGCGGATTCTGATTAATAAAAAGCTTGCCACGTGTTGACGATAACAGTTGGGGGCGTGTATGATAATATTGATATGTTTTTCTAGAAAGTGCTTTTCTAAAAGCGGTACGCGGGGTCTATAGCTCGTTGATGCGAAGCATGTCATTCAGAAAAAGACAAAGTTTGATAACGCACACTGTGGTGTGTTCGTCAGTTCAGTTTGGTAAAAAAAATATTTCTCGTTTTCGTGCGCCGCCAAGTATATTATACGTCAATATTATGTATTAATTTTATAAATATTAGGGTGAAATAAATAAATAAAAAAAATTTATAAATATTAGGGTGTGTTAATATTATTGGTTATATGATAAGCAATAAAGTAAGTGGGCATCATTGTAAACAAGTGATAATAAACAAAACATCATAATAGAGTGCTAGTCATCGAATGGCCTAGTCGAATGATTATTGTCAGATGATTGTCATTAGGAGAGTGTTCAACTGGTCATAATTGTAGATGATCAAAAAATTATTGTCGGGCCACATATGTAACAAGAATATTATTTGGTGACAGTCGTCAGAGGATTGTGGACGAGAACACTGGTCGAAGGATGTGGTTGAGTAATTATGATCAGAGGACTATGTATAGCCGAGATATGATGGTTAGAAGGTTGTAGTAGGATGACTGTGATATGAAGAATGTAGTTGGGCAAATGTGGTCGAAGAAAGCAATAGTAGGGCAACGTTTTTCCAACATTCTTTAGATGGATAACGTTAGCTGGAAGGTCGAAGTAAGATTTTTGAGGATCATAATATGAAGACATGATCAAAATGCCTTAGTTAGACTATGACGATCATCATAGGACTATAATCGGACGATGTAATTTAAGGACGGACTAAAGTTGGGTGATGATATTTAGATTATTCCAGTCACACTACAATTGTTGAAGGATGTTAATCGAGATATGAAGGTTAGAGGATCCAAGTCATTCTGCTAAGGTTGAAGAACCATATATATATTAGTAAGGCAACAGTAATGAAAGGATCTTAGTCGGGCGGCGGCCGTATTTGGATGGCTAAAGTCGAAATGATGGAGATCTAAATATCTTAGTCGATCAACAGTGTTGAATGATCGTAGTTGGGTGATGATGATCGAAGAATCATATTCCTATGATGGTGGTCGATAGATCATAGTTAGACGATGGTGATTAAATGATGATGGATTGTAGGCATTGTTCCGATGTCAACGAGCAGACAAGTAGTGTTCCAACAACCACGTAAGAATATATAACATAATTTTTTTCTTTATTAAGGTATGAAACTAAATTTAATGATTGTATCACGTACCGTAATGATTAGTTCTACATAAGTAAAATGATCATCAAGAATTCTCTTATTTGCATTACATCTTCTAAAGTAAACTACATTCAATTTATGAAAACAAATAATTTTCTATTATGTATTCATCAATTTTCTCACTCCCTATCAGCTACTTAATTTAGGCGAATATAACCCGAGATCTGATATGCATATATATAGAAGACTGGGAGGCCCAAACAAATTCATAATTTTACTCATTTAAAGAATTAATTTATCTAAGGTATCAATGTGGCAAAAACAGATATAATTATGTTATCAAAGGCATACAATCTGCATACAATTTAGTGATCCATTTTGTTAATTCCATATAAAATTATATGCACGACATAAACGACAAGTTTGCCCAGTCATGACAACTATCAAGTCATTTAATTATCAAATGATTGAAGACTTAACGTTAAGATGCGATCATTATTGGTTATCATTTAATGATGAAGGGCAATGCATAGTCTTGGAATTAAGTGATCTAACACTCCTCTTAACAATGCCTACTTGAGGATAAATTATTAAATGCGATCATCGGATGGTTCAGAGGCTAATCAGGATGTGTCACGTCATCCAATACATAGTGGTACATAGTTTATTAGTGACGTGGTGCATCCTGGTTGACCTCCGGACAACATCTAGTGATCGCAAGTAATATTTTTTGCCTACTTGAGATCCTATTAATTAAAGCCATAACTGGAGGAATGGAAAGGATATTATTTTTCAACCTTTATATATACTAATCTTTGTACTTTGTCATTGAGATAATATAAATAAGAATCTATTATACCTGAAGAGAAACATGAGATGTAGAGTTCTTGCTGAGGGAGGTGCAAGAGTGGCAACTAATGACAAGCAAGGTTACGAAAAGGGATATCATAAATTATTGCTGGTTAGAAAATTAGCGTTAATGAAGAGAGTTTTATACATAGCATTGCAAGAAGATTTAACACTTATAAAGATGAAAGAGAGAAACACATGAGAGACTAATGCTTTTATGTTAAAAATACTAGAATGAGAAAAGGAAGACGGTTTAACCCAGATGAAATAATCTACTATATAGTAATTAAAATTATAGAGGAATTACAAAGCAATGAAATCAAGCTGAGTCACATATAATTGTGGTAGAGCTTGACGGAAAAATAGTGGAGGGTGATGACATCGATTATATGATGATAGTCGAGTGTTGGAAATATATATGATTATGTTGGTCAAAATATGACAATTAGATGATGATGATTAGACGATGGTGAATAGATGACAATGATCAAGCAATAACAGTAGTTGGGCGTTATCTTTGACGTTTAGTACTGAGAAAAGCTCTAGAATGCTTTAGATCTCCAAGCTCTCTATAATATTCAAATCAAGGAGAAAAGTGGATTTTTCTAGAGTGGCATTTATGTAAGTTTGGCCAAAATTTTATAGCACTCAATTAGATCGAAGACTCATATTAAATTCTTTGATGATAAATCATTCATTCAATATGTAAGTGCCCTAACGATCTCATAATTAAGTGATTTTGTGCTCATTTGAAATCTCTCATCATGGCCTTGTTTTGATTATAAGCATGTAATCATTCAATCATTATCTTTAAGCTTCTAACTATTCTTCAAATATTTGATGTGAATTTTCTTGGATTGGATTACCTTTTGGACTAAGTTCTTCTTTTAGTCATTGAAACCATTTATAACATAAAATTATAATTAGTGTAATAACAAAAAAAATTCGAATAAACAGAAATGAAAAAAGAAAAAAGAAAATACAATAAAAAAACAAAAAGAATAAACAAAATAAAACAAAATTTTGAAAAAAACATGAAAATGAAAACTATTCACCAGTCGCTAGCAATTATTACTATTTTTTTCTTTTTTACTTTATTTTTTACCAGTTATAGTTTTTTTTCATTTTTTATTTGAAATTCGTTTTTTTTTCTTTTTTTATCAGTTCTAATAATTTTTTTTCATTTTTCACTTCTTTTCATTTTCTATTAATTCCGATTGTTTTTTTATTATAAATTCTTTCCATTTTTTATACATCCCAATTAGTTTTATTTATTTTTATCTGCTATTCAATTTTTTTTTTCATTTCTTGTTCATAGCTTTTTTTATTTTTATAAATTTATAATTTTCATATATTATTTACAAAAAATAAAAGGGATTTTTACATACGTAACACTTGAAACTATCCTAAATACATATTCAACATTCAAAGTATTGTATTTACTGATATACCACATAAAACCTCCCTTTTCCTCAATTCTACCACTCCGTTAAGACCCGTCAGAAATCCCGTCAAGTCGCCGTCGCCTATTCTCCGTCTTCCACATCAAATCCTTCTCCACCAGCGATCGTCACCATCCTTGTCCCTCACCGTCGGCAAGATGATTGGGTATTCTCCACCGTTACCGGCCAGTTCCAGACCCTTTTTTTTCGTCTCATAAACTTACCATTTCCCGCCGATGAGCATTTAATATGCCCGGAGCTCCAGAAATCTTCCTTCCAATGAGCTCACTTCAGTGCTCCAGGAGCCGCAGTCCTCTGAGAGAAGAGCTTTGTTGGTTTTTTTTGCATGCCTCTAAAAATGAGGATCTTTTCTAAGTTTACTAAGGTTTAAGCAACCCACATTACTTTTTTTTTTTCTGATTGAGTTTGATTTATGGTGATTTAGTGTATTAGCTTGTATCCCTGAACGAAGATTGTGGTCTCCTGGGGTTGCACTACCGCGCATTTTCTTATTGCTCCAATTTTATGTTGTTTTACTGATTGTCTTCTGCATTACCTCTTTGATTTGTGATGTTCTTTGAGGATCTCGTGGGGTTTTGGTGTTAAGATTCCGAGGAAGGTGATCAAGATGGTGTTTTGAAGGAAGATGATGACGACGACAATGATGTTATCGTGAATGAGGTGATTGTGCATCACTTGAAGCAAAAGAAAGTATAATTTGAGCTGTAGATTTTGGGAAGAATCAGAGAAGGGGGACCTTGTAGCCGAGAGAGCATAAGCATAAGCAATGGAGCAGGCTCCGCTCGCAACCTTGCAGGCGAACACTGGTTTTTGATGAGGGTTAGCTAGCTCCAGATTGCGGGAGACATCTCCATGACCACCGTTGCTCTTGTTCTATTGGCCAACCCATCTCGCGCGAACGAAAGTAAAATGAGGCGAGACGAGATTTCTGACTGGGGTTTAAACGGAGTGGTATAATTTAGGAAAAGGCTATTTTAAGTGATATATTAGTAAATATAATAGTTTGAGTGTTGAGCATGTATTAAGAGTAGTTTCAAGTGTTATGCTGGTAAAAATCCCAAAATAAAATTTAAGAAATCCCAGTTAAAAAATCTCCAATGACTACCAGCCACGTGAGCCAGCCAATTGCGGCAAATGCTAGTGACTATACCTAATTTTAATTTTTTTACATATTTATTTTAATAATATAAAATATTAGCATATCTATTTATAAAATTTGTCCTTTTATTTTCTCTATTTTTAAAATATTTAATATTTTATTAAATTATTTATTTTTTATTTATTCTAATAAATAAAAACTGAAAACTAACACAAAGTCACAAACCAATTAATAATCCATTAGAAGTATTAAAATCATCCCACCCGAAACTGCCACAGATCTCATTGAATAACCGCCGTCAGATCACTAGATCCTTCGCGAGAAAGCCCTCTACTCTCCAATGGGCGCCGGCGGCATCAACGGCAACGCAGCGCAGAAGCAGCGGAGGACGTTCACAAAGATCACCCTAACTTCGCTTTCGGCCGCCGTTGCGGAGACGGCGACCTTCCCTATCGACATCATCAAGACAAGGCTGCAGCTCCAACGTGGCGACTACCTCCGCCGCCCTCCGACCGCAGCAGGATCGGCCTTACGTGTTGCCGTTGACATATGGAGAGCGGGAGGCGCTTTTGGGTTCTACGATGGTCTGGCGCCCGCCGTTCTCCGACACCTTTTTTATACGCCGATCCGTATTGTCAGCTACGAGAATTTGAGAAACCTCGCCGGCGATTCTGCCGCCGGGAGAGCTTTTGTTGGTGGGGTTGCTGGAGCCCTAGCCCAGGTGATTCGTCTGCACCACTCTCAATCTTGTTTTAATTTAAATGAGTTTTGTTGTTGAGATTCGGATTCGCGTCGGAGTGGTTTCGATAAAAGTGCAATTAATATGTTTTGGTTATAAACTATGTGATCTTATTACATACAATAGTGTGTGATGGGAGAATCGGGTTGTCCTTTTTTTGGTTTTTTGGTTCGCTAACCATCATGTATGTAATGCAATGTTATCAGCAGTTGTTAACCATTTGACTTGCTGACATCTTTGAGTAACTAATTTATAAATGAGAACTAAATTTTGATCAAATCAGTTTAGATAAGCAGATTATTCAATCGTTAAAATAATGAAACAAAAGAAAGGTCAAAATTGTTGCAATAAATCAAACACACTGCATTTTATAGGTAACTCTATTATCTGTCTAACATTAAATGAAACAACCAATCACATGATGCATAATTTTTAACAAAACATGATAGGAACTTTATCTGTGACCTTCTATCTTGCTTTTTGGATCACTTGAATGGGGTTTAAACCACCTTTGTTTTCTTTTAAAAAATTAGAATATTATTAGGATCACATCTTTAAAAATACTCTTAGTTGAATAGAACATAAAGAATATTATAGACATTATCAGATAACAGGAGGAATAACAACAAGGTAAAAAAAATAAGACGACATAGGAAATCTAAACAACAGGGTAATCAAATTTTATGAAAACCTGGATGGAATTTCAATATGCATTTGTCTTAATTTGGAAGTACTGTTTCTCATCCTTGAAAACATACTTGTGTGTCTGTTTTAATTTTGTGATGAATATGTTCCAAAAAATAAATTTCAAGCAAAATCGGCTTGTTTCAAGTTAAGTTAACTCGATCTACTCAATCTCAAGTCAAAAGGAACTCGAAACTCATGCCAAGCGCTCAGAGCACAACTAGAATTGCTTTTAGAAATTTCCCGGGGACCAGAGAAGTCACCCTAGGATTCATGAGAATGAAAGAAGATTTTACAATGACAAGAGAAGAAATAGGCATTGTTAGTAAGTTTATAATTTCGATAAAAGTGGTATTTAACATGTTTTGGTTATAAAAGATGTGATATTACTACATACAACAGTGTGTGATGGGAGGATCGGATTGTCCTTTTTTTGGTTGTTTGGTTCGCTGCCCATCTTTGTATGTAATGCAATGTTATCAGCAGTTGTTAACCATTTGACTTGCTGACATCTTTGAGTAACTAATTTATAAATGAGAACTAAATTTTGATCAAATCAGACTATATTTAGATATCCAGATTATTTAATAGTTAAAACATAATGAAACAAAAGAAAGGTCAAAATTGTTGTATTAAATCAAACACACTGCATTTTATAGGTGACTCTGTTATCTGTCTAACATTAAATGAAACAACCAATCACATGATGCATAATTTTTAACAAAACATGATAGGAACTTTATCTGTGACCTTCTATCTTGCATTTTGGATCACTTGAATGGGGTTTAAACCACCTTTGTTTTCTTTTAAAAAATTAGAATATTATTAGGATCACATCTTTAAAAATACTCTTAGTTGAATAAAACATAAAGAATATTATAGAGATTATCAGATAACAGGAGGAATAACAACAAGGTAAAAAAAAAAAACGACATAGGAAATCTAAACATCAGGGTGATCAAGTTTATAAAAACCTGGATGGAATTTCAATATGCGTTTGTCTTAATTTGGGAGTACTGTTTCTCATCCTTGAAAATATACTTGTGTGTCTGTTTTAATTTTGTGATGAATATGTTCCAAAAAATAAATTTCAAGCAAAATCGGCTTGTTTCAAGTTAAGTTAACTCGATCTACTCAATCTCAAGTCAAAAGGAACTCGAAACTCATGCCAAGCGCTCAGAGCATGACTAGAATTGATTTTGGAAATTTCCAAGGGACCTGAGAAGTCACCCTAGAATTTAAGAGAATGAAGGAAGATTTTACAATGACTAGAGAAGAAATAGGCATTGTTAGTAAGTTTATAATTTTTAGGGGAAAGTTTGAAATGAAGAACGATGAGATGATCGCCACGACCAAAGGTCATTGTCACCTCAAATTCGCCATCTACCGTCTATGAATCTCTTGAGAGCCTCTATGGATAAGCTTATTGAGCCCATTTAGAACCAAAAATTCTTAATAAGGCCAGCACCAATGAGAGCAGGATGGCACCTTTGTGATCAATCAAAGTATTGCGCATATCACCACAATCACAACCATTATATTGAGGAGTGATGACACCTCAAGAGCTTGGTGGAGGACCTAATAAACGCTGGTAAGCTGAAACTTGTTGATGTAGACCGGAGACCAGCCAAGGTGCCGAAGGAGGAAGCTCGCAATGAACCAATCCTGGCACAAGAGGTTCCAACAATGCATGGCCAATTAGCCTCGGACAACTTTGATAAGAAGAGGTGAACTTCATGAGTGCCTCGAGGGCATTTACATTTGCAGTGTTGACCATATATTTATTGAAGCTAATTGGCTAGTAAATGACAATCCATATAATGATGTGGATTTTTTCACAACATTCATTGTAAATTATCAAATCCACAACATCTCAATTGGCATGAGTTATGTGAATATTATTTTCAAAGTCTCTACGAGAAGATAAACTTGGGAGCTTTTTGCCTAGCATTGACTTTCAGGTCTCTCTTTAGTTTTTTGGGGAGTAAAGAGAGACAAAAGGAGTGATTGCATTACTTATCACTTGGGGAGAAGGTGAAAGGCAGTTCATCGTGATGCTTTACTTCATCATAGTCAACACGCCAACTATCTACAATGTCATCTTTGGCTAACCATTGTTTAACACATTTTGGACAATCATCTCTATATATCATATCATCGTAAACTTTTTAGTTGGAAGTCAAGTAGTGATTGTAAGGCGACCTACATTCAAGGGCTTATTATTTAAAAGTAGTGGAAAATGTGCAAGAGAAGATTATCCAACTAGATGTTCACAGGGGCTCTGGGTTGGCGACTTCTAAACTTGTTGAAGAACTGTAATTTTTGTAAGGAAATAAAAGTTTTAGCTTTCGAATAAGCACAACTTTTGATGAAGATAGAACAACCAAATTGATTGCAACTCAGAAGGTAAATGTTGATATATTTGCCTAGTCGGTTGATGAAATGCCAGGTTTGGACATTAATGTTGCTTGCCACATGTTCAAAATTGGTATAAACGGCAAGAGGAATCATATATTTATAAGATGAGTATTTGTTAATATGGATAGAATGATGATGTTTGAAGTGAAAATCAAATTGATTAATAAATATTTATAAAAGTTTTATGAATAATTAATAAAGAATGTTTAATATTTTTAATCTTTTCACATTAAATATCCAAAAATATAAGATAATTAAGCAATTAAATGTACAACCAAATATCCTGAAAAATGAAAATTGGTTTTAAACCAAGTTGGCCCGGTTTGAACCAAATAACCTGAGTATGACCTATTGAGTCCTTGTGACTACTCAAGTGGACAACTTTTTTCATATGGGAAACTATTGATTAGCTATTTGACTACTCGCCCGCCTATGCACACGCAGCCAACGACTTCGTTTTAGCTCGGCAGACGACTTCTATAAGTCAAACATTCTAATTATGCTATACGAAATTTTTATTTTTCTTTTTTTTTCTGATAGTCATCTATGTAGCAAATTCAATAATGCTAAAACTCCAACCTAAATTTGTAAATAGGGGTTCAAGAGGTGAGCTAAGTTTATGCAAATTTTTATTATTAAGCTTATTTTATAGAAATTCTGAATATTTCACTCTAAAATTCTTTCTTTTTCTGTATTTCTTAGCTCTCTTTTTGCTTATTCTTAGTACGGTTTGGTGTGATTAATGGATAATTTTAAATTCAATAGAATATTATTTTTCAAGAAAGATAATCTATATCAGAAAGGGCTAACCTAGGGTAAACACAAGATTAAATGTGCCACTTAAGAATTCATGGGATACTAACCCAATTGTTACAATCGGCATATTTGAAGATTATGTCCTCATTCCCTTTAATATGCTCTTTATTAACCTCTTTTAAATAATCAATTGTTATTGTTTTTGTGGAAAGTTTAAATTGCAATATTTTGATTACATGCTATGTATATACGGCACGTATGGCATGAAAAGTTAAATTGTTCACAACAGGTTTTGAGATATTTGACTTTGGAGGCTCATCAACATCTGATTCATATCGATCAGTGTTTGCTTATACTGACCCTTGCTGCGTTTTAGCAGTACTTACCATCCAGGTTAGCCATGTTATCTCAAATTAGGGTCAGCTCTTCTAATCATAATTTGGGTTAGTCCACTTCAGTATAAACCAATTTGGTTTTGATTTATTTCAAGATGATGGAATTATTTTAGCTTTAGATTTTTTTTGAAATCTTCCAAAATCTTCCAGAGGTCTGAGAAACCTTCTAAATAATCCTAGGATTTGGAGTATTTTTGGAATATTTTATTGTTGTCTAAATTATTTGTAAGGGCTTTGGATAATCTATCCTTTTGAAGTGCATTAAAATTATGATTTAGAATATGTTTGTTAATAGAATTGTTATTCCTCGTTGTAATCATGCCATCTTGATATTCTTCGTTTTCATTTTAAGTTTTATTGTATGCTTTTTTATTTGGTTTATAAATCATGCCATCTATCAATAAAAATTTATTTTTGTGTTGAATCACTTGATGTTTGTTGTTATTTTTGATACCAAGGTGCATCAGAGTGATTCATGAATGCTTAGTAGATGATATTTGATAAATATCCCTTTTTGTCATTCTATTTTTGTATCCCCGATTCCAACTTTTGTGGTTTGAACAGTTTTAGCCTCTTATTATATAGTTGTTATGCACGTTTGTTTGGAGCCGCAGAACCCAGTAATTGATATATCGACAATGGCTAAGCAATGCATATTGTTTCTTGTTACACTTTTCATTTTATCCCATGATCTGTTTATGCATTTATCTTCTATCTATTGTTTATTGTATCACTTGCGCGTCATCTTTTTCCAGGCACCCATGTGTATCATTACCGGGAGATTGTAGGAGACTTTAAATCTATTAAGTGCACTCTCAAGGTTTTATGCGGGGTTTTGCAGTTTATGTTGCTTTCTCTGAATGTTTACATATTATATCCAAATATGATTACTGCTGGTATCATGCTTTCTTCCATTATGGCAATGATCATTGCTTATTTCTTGATGTTTTAGCAACTGAAGCTCATTTTGGTCTTTTGGATGCAGGTTCTGGCAAGCCCTGCAGACCTCATTAAGGTGAGGATGCAAGCAGATGGCCACCTTGTAAGACAAGGCCTCCCTAGTAGATACACAGGAATTTTCGATGCCTTCAATAAAATCATTCGAAGTGAAGGTGTCTTAGGACTGTGGAGGGGTGTGTTTCCTAATACTCAAAGAGCTTTTCTGGTCAACATGGGGGAACTCTCATGCTATGACCAAGCTAAACGCTTCATCATTAACCATGAAATTTGTGAAGATAATGTTTTGGCACATACCATGGCATCAGTTGCATCTGGTCTCTGTGCAACTACCTTAAGCTGTCCGGCTGATGTGGTCAAGACCAGAATGATGAACCAAGCTTCACGCGCGAAGGGAAAAATCATGTACAGAACTTCTTACGACTGTTTGATGAAGACGGTGAAGTTTGAAGGTGTAACGGCATTGTGGAAGGGCTTCTTTCCAACGTGGGCAAGGCTTGGACCTTGGCAGTTTGTGTTTTGGGTTTCTTATGAGAGATTCCGCCAAGCCTCTGGCCTTTCTTCATTTTGATAGGGGGATTAGTGCGGCTTAAACCTATTCATTTCCTACATGGTTTACTTGCAACCAGAAACATCTAAGAGATCGAACTGAAAAGGAGAAGGATTGGTAAGTTCACAGAGCTTTGTACTAATTACTTGTAGTTTTTTACACTTACACTAATAGTTGACAGGATGATTTTCACGCTTTCACCTTGTTTACTTATCAGTTGCTAAGTCAATCTTGATCACTTTCCAGACGATCCTTTTTTTTTTTTCATATAGTTTCTTATTGCATCGGATACAACACATGTTCCTGGAAAATAGTGGAAATTTTCGATGCTCATAGTCGCATCTGAAATACAATCATGGCTAATGTTATCCTACCAAGGTTGTTTACACTAAGGACAGGCCTCCAATGTTCCAATTAGAGGTGTGAGTCAAAAACTGCTTAGTTTTGCTTGACCAGAAGAGGGATCTCTTTTGAACATCCAACAGCATAATTCTAGGTTCATAGATCAGAACTTAAAAATTTCTTGATTCTAAGTTTACATTGCTCGTTAGAATACTCATAATAAACATTTGTAAAATAGAGTTGGAGACAGATCTAATTAATAGTGAGGTTGACGATGTTTCGGCGAGAAATTATTCAATGCGGTCACCAAACTGTTTAAACCCTAAATCAGAGAGCTCCAACTCACCCAGTATACAACGATACACAATACTGATACATAGCAAAAAAGTGACATGACGCGTTTTGATTTGCCTCCGGATTCCGTCCAGTGACCGCACAGAATAATTTTTCATTTTCGGTTGGTACATTCTTCAAGGATTTTAGGATTGGCCGTTAGGCCCTATTGAGCTTATAGACACTAGAAGCGCTATGTTGGCCTCCAGGAGCCTTATGGACATCCTTGGCCGGCATAAGTTTGAGGATTTTTATATAATTGAGTAGTGGAAGTTACATTGATTGATTATGATGTATTTTTATGTGATGAATTCATTCTTCAATCATTTTCTCATCATTTTTATAAAATCCCAATATAAATGTCTTTTGGTTATAAATGTTGGGTTGATCATATAGCTCTTATGTCTATAATGCATATTGTTGAAACTTGGAATTGGTTTCATTTTAGTTAGGCTATTATGATTAGTATGACTCATAATTAACTCTCGAGGTGTGAGTCAAGTTGGCTCGAGCTTGACTAGATAAACAACTTGTGAGCTGAGTTCGATGAGCTAACAAGTCAAGTTTGAGCCAGCCCTGACTTGGCTCGATAGTTCACGAGCCTGCTCGTTTTAAAAATATGAATATAAAATTCACTTAAGCTATATTACCATTCTGAATTTTAACTATAAAGTTATAAAAATATTTAAAATTTACATCCCAATTTCTTATATTAAGTGATTATTTATATATTTCCTCTAATATTTCATCCTTGTTATTATTTTATTATAATAACTGCTTGTATCATAAACATTTTATCTATTTCATAATAATGTGGTTTGTTGTTGATTACTAAATCAATAAATGAACCTTAATAATGTTTAGTATCATAATTATGCCTATTAATGCATTAAGGATTAAGCAGTATCCAGTCCATGTAGGCATAAATTATGATAAAATCTCATGGTGGAAGGACCTTTCAAAATATGTCAACATAATATGGCTATGCCCCCTCTAACAGAAGATAGCTCATCATGGTTAATTAGCTTACCAACTATTTGGGCCTCCAAATATTACTATAATACTGAAATAACAAACATATGCCCTCCACATTGTTTTTAAAGCAAAGCAAATGTAATGAAGGTAACTTTTTAAACTTGTGAACAGAAGCCAATATTCTAATTAATTATTTTGTGCGGACGTCGAACGCCTTACGGAGATCAATCAGAATGCGCCATGTCACCCCTTTGCTCGGTACCACGGCTTGGTGTTACTGACGTGACACATTCTGGTTGGTCTCCGGACGGCGTTCTGCATCCGGTCTTCGCATAGAAAAATTTCTCCAATATTCCTATCCTTAGCCCCTTACATCCACTTACCATATTCTTTCTCTCTGCTTTTGGTTCAGGTTTGGCATCAAGGCTGTCCAGAACCCCAGATCCTTATCTTCCAAGCAAACATTCTATTTATTAATCCACCCAGCGGCAATTCTCCATCATCAAATCTCTGAATTCTAGAAATTCTACAAATGTCAAAGCTGAGGGTCCTCAACTTCCAGTACCAAATACTGAAGAGGCTTCCATCACTAAGTCCTGCAAAATGGCTCTCTGCCAAAGATCGCCAAATCTCCGATCTAATGCAATCCTTTCAACCCAACATCGACGAAATGCGACGTGTTTTCCGCAGGATCAACTCGAATGGAGATGGCAGGATCTCCATTGAAGAGCTCAGATCTTTTCTGAGTGCAATTGGGAGGAAAGATGCAGCTGCTGAGGCCAACTCAATGATGCGAGTCGCCGACCTGAACAAGAATGGGTTCATCGAATTCGAAGAATTCATGGAGGTTCATCAGAAAGGGGTGACCAGAAATGATATTAAAATGGCTTTCTGGATGTTTGATGGGAACAAAGATGGGAGGATCAGTGCAGAAGAAGTTCTGTCTATGTTGAGGAAGCTGGGGGAGGAAGTGAGCCTGGAGGATTGCAGGCGAATGGTGAGTAATATTGATAAGAGTGGAGCTGGCTTGGTTGGCATGGATGATTTCATGATCATGATGACTCGAACCATGAAGCCTTTGTGAAGCTCTGGTCTTTTTCGAGTTTTTTTTGCTTTCATTGAAAAAGATATGACAAATACCCATATGGATGTAATAAAGCATCTTTGCAGATTGAGGCTTTGTTTGAGACGGTTTTTTTACTGTTTTTTAAAGTAGTTTTAATTTAACCGTTTAACCATTGCTTTGTTAAAAAAATTTTGCTAGTAAGTTGTTATAGACAGCAGCTTTTAAAAAAGCTATTTTTTCCATAATAATTTTACAATCACCTTTATAAAAAATTACAGTCATCCCAATGAATCCTTTGGGTTACCAAACAACTTGACAAACACTTACATGGTGTATATAATATTTTAAATAACGAACAAAAAGTCAAGACATATTATGATCAATTACTTAGTATAAATTAATATATGAAACAAAAATTAACTTAGAAAATCAGATGGATCTACATTCAAAATACTATAAATCCTACGCTTTATCAATGAAAAAACATTTAGAAAAGATAAAGAAGGGAATTAGAATTTAGAAAAGAGTCCCAACTCTTAAAATTATTGCCTGAATTTAATTTAAAATGAGTGTAATATATAGATAATTAATCAAAAATTATTTTCTACTCATGCTATATATAGATAATTAAGATAATTAACCTATCCAATAATACATTCTTATTTAAAAAAAAAATCTCAATGGGAAGGCCAACTTAGAGAGTTCTTATATTTTGAAATAATAGGACCTTTAAGCACAAACTAACAAAAAACAATGAAGGTTGCTTTCTTTAATAAAACTACTGTGATGACCAAATTAATTTGAGGCTTCGTTTGGGACGGCTTTCTTTCTTCTTCTTAAAGCAGCTTTTTCGTACAAAATAAAAATATTTTGTACTAGAAAGCTGCTTTAAGAAGCAGAAAGAAAGCCGTCCCAAACAAAGCCTGAGTCTCATTGAAAATCACTTTACCCTAAAAGATGGAGTGCTTTAAATTTCACTCTTTGCATCAAATTGGCATAAAAGAACACCCCCCTACAAAATCTTTTTAAATATTTTGTTCTAATTATTCCGTTTGGTAAAATATTTAGATTTTATTTGAGACAATTTTTTATCAATATTTTTTCGTTACTTTGAAGACGTTTTGTACTAGAAAACTAATTTAGAAAGACTTAGGCTTCTTTTGAAACGGCTTTATAGCTGCTTCTTAAAGCAGTAATAATGTCGTCCCAAACGAAGCCTAAAGAAATTATCCTAAGCTTTGTTTGAGATAACTTTCTTGATACTTTGTTTTTCATATCTCAATCATAATTTTATTTGGAGTTTTTTATTTTATTGCATTTAATAAAATTTTGGGTTAGAAAACTATTTTTTACTTTAACTTTAAAAAACTATTTTCTCTACAGTAATTTTGTAATCACCTTTGTAAAAAATTTGTAGTCATTTTAAAAGATCCGTATTCTCTCATAAAAAAGATTTAGGCTTCATTTAGAATTGATATGTCATCAAAAAATTATCCTGCACAAATCTCGAGGCAAAATCAAGTCGGAAACTGAGCGTCTCGTAAATACAAACCCAACTCGAATTCCAATTTTAGCAAACTTACAGTCAAACTGAGCGTCTCGTAAATACAAACCCAACGACACCAAATTCAACTCGATCTGAGCCCAAATGAGTCTAAATCGAAGACCCGAAGCACTATTTGAAGGTTCAAACCACAGTTTGGATTACCAAACAGTTTCCAAATTTGACATGTTTATAGTCGAATTGAGCGGCTCGACGAAACGAATCCGACAACCCCAATATCGCCAAATTCTGATATCATTAAGACCTTCAAATGTCTAACAAATGGCCCACGATCAAGAGATTTAATATCGGCCGTCCATCCAAACTACTCCACATTTGCCCTTGATCCTCCTCCTATTTACGGGTCATGCCATCATCAAAAAATTATAAATAGCCCTTCATTTCTCTTGAGAGGTGACCTAAGCAAGAAGAAAAAGAGAAGATGAGAAGAAGAAGAAGAAAAGAAGGAGAAGAAAAGAGAAAAATGATAGGATGGAAGAAACTTCTACTTAACTACCGCCGGAATTCTGCCTGGCTTCCACAGGACACTGGAATTTTGTTCGACTTCCACAGTAACGCTGAAATTCTGCCCGACTTTCATAAGATGCTGGAATTCTATCTGACTTCCACATTAACGTTAGAATTCCGCCCGACTTCCACAGTGACGCCGAAAGTTCGCCTGACTTTCCAGTGACGTTGAAACTCTGCCTGATCTCCAAGTGACGCCGAAATTCTGTCTAAACTTCAAGTGTTTATGAATTCATCTCGAATACACAACTTGCTTGTAACTAGATTTCAGTCCGGAAGAGAATCATTGTAATATGATCGTCCTACATTTTAAGGACGAGTCAGCCTCTTGTATCTCAAGCAAATACTAATGGAATTCTTCCGACTAGGCGTGGCACCGTGATTTTTTCCCTTTCCAGGGTTTCCACGTAAAAACCTCATTGTATTTATTTTTCTTATGTTCGCGTGCTGGATATCCGTACAACGCTAAGACGAAAACTTTCTAACTCTTTCGCCGCATATATTCTAGCCCGCAATAAGAACAACTTTTCCGCTGCTTTCTAAAAACAGCTTTTTAGTATAAAATTTTGTGAATTAGAAATTTATTACTAGAAAATTATTTTAGAAAATAGCAAAAAAAAAAAAATCCCAAACGTAACCTTAGAGATCAATAATTATATAAATATCCAAAAGACTTTGACGGTCAAAATTCCTTCTTATTGGTTAAGATTTATTGAGGCTGTCAAAATATTCCGATCAATCTTGTTAATTACATATGATGGTTTCTTCATGATGGAACTGTAATAATGATATTTTAATGGTTTCTTGCAAAGGACTCTAACCTTCCTTTGATAATTACATTCTTGAGAACTAAACGTTTGGCACAATTTGATACCATTATTATTTTTTACTATGAGTGCCTTGCCGAAGGAATGAGAATTTTGCAAATGGAACAGTCACTTTTTATTATTTACAAATTAACATTTTTTTTATCATTTATGTAAAATTTTATATTTATTTGTTTTTACACAAAGCTCCAAGTCGTTTGGAATATAATTATGCTTCTACTAAGCCGAGAAATATCCCATTTGTTTTATTCTTCAATTGATGCGATTCCTTTGGAGACCACGTGGAGTTGACTCGGTCAACCATATTCTATTCCTTGATATCTTTTTAGGTGACCATCAAATTTCATACAAATTTAATTATTTATTTTTTTCATAGTCATGAACATTATAATTCATGCACCTAAATTTTTTTTTGACACGAGCAACATGAATTTTAAGGTAATATTTGAATTAGGAATTTTTAAAATTAAATGCTCGATCAATCAAATTTTGATTTTGTAAGTTTATTATTGAAATGAACATCTCTACGAGGTGAAAATATTGACACTATAAATTATTTGATTTGACTCCAAATAAGTTCAAATTAAGCATTTGAATTAGATTTATTTATTTATTTTAAAAATCTTGTAAGCCCAAGATCACTCAATCTAGACATCGTTAAGGCATTTAAATGTTTGATAAACTATTTATAATCAAGAAAATCAATATGAACTGTTTGATGGAGTGTTATAGATTCTAGCAAAATTTATCAAATGTGCATCTCATAAAGCTTATAAATAGGATCATATTCTCTACAGAAGAAAGGGCTCTAGAGCTAAGAGAATTAAAAAACTCACCTTTTTCTAGCTATAATTATTGATGATCGTCACCAGCAATCGTTGCTACAATATGTAGACTCCTGTTAAGAATTAATCGTGTTGTTGGGTTTTAAGTGTCCATCTGTGAACACCTGAATTATGTAATCCCTATAAACAAAATCAAATACTTTTTATTCGATGGTTTCCTCTTCTGCTGGTTTCAGTATGCTTTTGCAATGGTGTTTGGCAGTTGTATCTTCTTGTTGCTGTTCCAGACAATGATGATGAGGCTTTTGTGCGCCACCTTTTTGGCCCTTACTTGCTAGTAACCTTGGTGGTCACTAATCTTTACGGTTTGCTGTTGTGGCTTGTTTTGGTTCATGGTTTGTTGCCTCCAATGAATGGTCCTAGCTTGGCTTGGGCGTGGGTGTGTGTGGCCTCATTCCTGAGTCCGTTGGGAGCTCGCCCCTTTTATGGCTCTGAATTTCTACGTTCTACCTACTTTACTTTGAGGTTGCTTCTTTTATTGCTATTTTTTGCTTTGTAATTTTATGTTATTTTTGCTGTGTCATGTTGTATCTTCCCTTTATTTATGAAGTTTTTCTTATTTAAAAAAATAAAACAAAACAAAAATCAAATACTTATTATCAAACAATTCCATTCTCTTAAACTATATGAGGAAAGGAGGTTGTAATGTATTATTCAATTGGGTCAGGCGCCATCATGGCTTTTTCCTTTTTCTAGTTTTCTATGCAAAAAAATAAAAATTTTCCAATACAACTTTTTTCATGCGTCCTGAATTTGTATCAAAAATTAAGACATAAAACAGACGTTATACTGCAATAAATTTCTAGCATGTAATAATAAAAAATTAAATTTAATTAATTTAAATTTTAATCTATATTATATTAATTGTAAGTTCATAATATTTCATAGAGTTTCTAAGACTATAATATTTAATACATCATTGAAAATGATCATGAAGGACATGAATCACAATGTATATTTGAATTGAATGTTTTAAAACTAAATTCAATAACATATGAACTCTGATGTCATACTCATCAAACACTCTAAGATCAAGAGAATTAATATAGGCGCAATTTTTCTTCATATTAATGATGCATATCACTTTCAAAAATATATATATACACCCTCACTCTATATATGAAATGAGACCTAAAATTTGAAGTTGGACAAAAGATTCAAGCTCAGAGACTAAGAATCTTGGAACTCCACTCGATCACCACTATCATATCACCATCTGACTACGTCACTATTGAATCGCCATCACTCGCTACGGTCATATGGCCACTATCGCCCTGCTACGATCCTCCGACCTCCATCACCTGATTAGCTGATTATGATTTACCAACAAACATCACATAACTATGATCCTCAAACTATCAACACATTTAACATTTTTCAATTCCTTATTTATAAAGTTTGCATCAAGATATATAATTTTTTTATAATGACTTAAAAAAAAAATTATTATAAAAAACCAACCCAATGAAAATATCTCATCTCATTCAAAGTTCCAATGATAAGAAGGAATCCCTCCCTAATCATCCACTTAAGCTATAAGTAATGTATTTGGGTCCCACCACTTCATTTGTTTCCTTTTAACTATAAATAAGACCAAAAATTAATTAAGCTTTCCATTCCAACTCAATTGTTCTAATGACCATACTAATCATGACTGAGCTTTCCACAGAAGAGCAGTTCAAGCAGTGGCTGAAAAGCTTGGACAAGAACAGCGACGGCCGAATCAGCAAGCAAGAGCTGCGCGAAGCACTGCGCTCCACCGGTCAGCGCTTCGCCAGATGGAAGGCTTGGAGGGCGATCAAGAACGCCGATCTGAACAGAAACAATTTCATCGACGGCAACTCGGAGATTGAAAAGCTGATGTCCATTGCGGCCAAGTGGTGGATCGTCGCCGGCAACGACGACAAACGCTGAAGACTCCGCCGCCGCTTACCAAACTCTGTTTTTTCGTAATCTGGTGTGCTTGTGGCGGTGGTGGTGATTATTATTAATTAAGGTTATATAATGCTTCGAAGATGTTAATTAGCAGAATCAATTAGTGGCTAAGTGACCGTCTGATTGTGTCGTTGATCTTCTTATAAGGACCTAATTCTATCTGTGTTGCTGATAATCATCTTATCAGTGTTGATGAAATATTATTAATCTGGCTTAAGGGCTAATTTTTATTTCTTAGAGTATTTAAAAGATATATTTTTATAATAATATCAAATGATTAATCTTCTCCAATAAATTGAATCTTTTATCTGATAATTAGTCCATGTAATTAAAGATCTAAAGATTATAACTTTTATAATGATGATTACAAAATTATTTCAAAAGTATAATTGAAAAAATTGCTGCTTAAAATAGTTTTATAGTATAGAAAATTTTAAAAAATAGTCAAGCAAAATTATAATTATCATCTGAAAAAAAAGTAAAAATTGATTTTGTTTTGTTTTTGCAGACTCAATCAATAATTAAATATTATTCAACTGTTTATGAAACCAAAAAAAAAAAACAGCATTTTTTATGGGAAATAATTTGGAGTAATAGGATATTTCACAGCTGCCAAACATGAGAGGAGTTCAGCGGCGACGGCGAGAGGAGGGGATGCTCGGAAATCGTAAATGACTGTGTACCCACCATCTGCGCGCCTTCTTCTCTCTTTTTCCTTTTGCCTTTACTCTTCTTGTTGTTTCCATCGCGGCTTCAGCTGCCTACTTTGAGCTACCGTGAGGGTTTGCCGATAATGGCGACGGCACTTGTGCCCTTGCGGAGTTGCAGGCGGGAGATCAGCAACCCCTCCATCATCTTCTTCTTCCCTCAAGGTTGTGGCTTGGGTAATGTAAGTCCTAACCTAAGCGAAGTGTTTAATTTGTTGATGATTTTAATAGAAAGATTATGAATTGAAACTGGAACAAAATAGTAATTTTAATTACTTTAAGTTACTCATTTTGTAAGAATTTGATATATAGGAGTTGAAGCAGTACTATGAACAACCTTAGCCCCAAATAATAAGGAAATTCAATGCGTGACCGTAATGAAATCTGAAATAATTAGGACCTGCCATGGCTGTATTAGGTGATCGGGTTGGTAATCAAGATTACATCTTAAGTTGTGTATATGGTTTCTTTTGGTATATTTCTATCCTTGCTTTTCATCTATTTAGTCGCTGGTGTATGTGATTCAGTGAGATTTAGCCAATTATGATACGCTCCAGATTTTCTGGTTAGAGTATTGTTGAATGCCAGGCAGTGGTAGAGATGATGTGTTTAATGTTAGCTTTTTGTACGAGGATTCAACAACACATATATGATATGAGTTGCAAGTGACACCGGAGTTTTTATATGGAAAATCCAAGAAGAAAAATCATAGAGCCTAATCCAAGTGAAATGATTCCACTAGTGCATACATTGATCACAAAATATGCCCTTTATTGTAGTTAAGGAAGGCATTGATATAATATAGTAGTTATAAACTGTATAGAATCGATTCCATGGTGGAAGTTGGAAGAGCCTTATTATATGGGTAATATCTTCAAAGATCGTTTGTTATATCTTTGATTGCTCTCCTTTAATGAGAGAAGTTCAGAGACTAAGAAGTCCAACATAAATTTTAATAATGACATTGAGAAGTAGAGTTGGCATCGACATTATGCATCAGCCTTAATAAGCAATGACCTGCAGTGATATTGTTAGCAACAACAGGTGATAAAGTCCACGGGCATTGGTATGATCGGTATATATTGTCGGAAAATCATAGTCAAATGACGGTGGTTCATAGACCGTAGTCAAACAATGGTGGTAGGAGGATTGTAGTTGGACGATGATGGTTAGACAATCATAGTTGACAATGCTGGTTAAGATACTGTACTCAAGCAATGATAGTTAGTGGATCATTTGGTGGAAATATTCAAATGATCGTAGTGGAGCGGTGGTAGTTAGGAGACCGTATTCAAGCCATGATGATTAGGAGATTATAGTCGGATGATAGTGGTAAGGGGATCCTATTTGAGCGACAATGGCTGAAAGACTATAGTTTGGCAATGGTAGTTGTAGGATTATAATCATGAGACAATGATTGTTGAAGTATCACATGTGATGATCTAGGAAATTAATTGAAAATTTTTTATCTTTTATCTTCTAATCAATCACCGAGCGTCACTAATCATCCTTTTCAAAAAAATAAAAAACCAGAAATATCATTTCATTTCATATAACTATTAATATATACAATGTTGTCTAGTTTCAAAATAATCATGTAGAATAACCATAATTGCACTTATCATATTAGTCTACTCAAATGTATCCTTGGCTACAACGATATAAAAACTGTAGTAAAGCCAAAACGGTGGCTAGTTTTTTATTAAAAACTTCAATAAGAAACACAGGATATAGGTGATCTATAATTCGAGAGGTAGATCGGCTCTCCCAAAAATCAAGACGCTGCTAGGAAGCTTCCGAAAAAAAAAACTATAGTAGAAAATCCAACATAGAACATGATGTTAAACCCTAGACAACTCCTTAAATAGCCACAACACCAAAGAACATAATTGAAAACTTCCTAATTAAAATCTAGTGTGATTGAGATTTAGTCTTGTGTGACATGTAAAAAAAAAAGTCTTGTGTGACATTTGCTGAATTTTCTTTTCATACTACAAACTTGATTGCTACTAAAGTTTTATTTTTGTTAACTAATCTTCTTATAAAACTTCAGATTTTGACAACTATTAAATTATTTTTTAGAATGAAAGAACTATGAAGTATGCTTGCTAATTTTACATTAATAATGAATGATTTTTGCTAAAGATAAGAATTGGTAATATGTAAAATATGGTGTTTTTTGTGTACTTTCATTGTGTGAGGTTGCCTTAGTAACGCTAGATGCCTAAGCTTCCTACATCATTAGTAAGCGTTTTGGAAAATATCCATAATCATGTAATCTCTGTCATGGAGCTTATTTTTTCAAGGAAAAATTCAGTTGGCCTTTTTGTTTTAATTTATTTTTTGTTTTTTGCTTTTTGATACATTTAGGTCAGTGAAAGAGAAGCATAATATTAAGTTAAGTATTGCAGAGATGAGGATGCTCAGGTAGATGAGTGGCTTTATTTTTAGAGACAGGAGATGAAATGAGCATATAAGTGAAAAGGTTGGAGTGGCTCCAGTGAAAGATAAGATTAGAGAGAGTCGCCTTAGATGGTTTGGTCACATAAAACGATGGCCTTTCGATGACCCGGTCAGGAAAGTAAACATATTAGATTCGGCTTATATTAAGAAAGGTAGGTAATCCTAAAAAGACTTGGTTAAAAAGTATTAGAAATGACATTTCTTTATTAGATTTAGATGATAATTTGACTCTTAACAAGACACAATAGAGAAAAAGGATTCATGTAGCCAACCCCACATAATGGTTTAAAGGCTTGTTGTTGTTGTTATTGTTGTTGTATACATTTAAATCAATTAAGGAAAAATCCACATACATCACATATGCAATACTCGAATCCAAGACTTCTTGGTTGGTAGCCAAAATTCCCAACCAACAGACAAAGGTGAGCTGTGTAATTTTTGTTAATTTGAATGCTAATTTTTGTAGGTGTTGGGAAATGATTCAATTGATGTTTGAGTGTATTCCTGAGTTGTCTAATTCTGAAGATTTTCTTGATGCATTATAACTGATTATATGGGTTAAACAAAACTTTTATACTCTTATCCATCATTCTTTACAATATCCTTTACTTCATGCACTCCCAATTATACTTCGACATTTAATTTGTCAGTTTTATACTATTTCTTTTGAGAATGACGAGCGATAAAGCTCTCAATGTATGTGGCTTGATATATGATTTTAGAGAAAACTCCTTCTCCCCTAATCATTTGTCATGTGTGGAATCTGATTGTGTTGATCAATCGGGCTATTTTGTTGCCTCGAACCTCAAGTTTCTCGTGCTTGCTTGGGGGTGTGATAATGCCCTAATGTTGTGTACCTGAGCACCCCGACGCTGCTTACCCGAGCGCCCCGGCGCTGAGTTTCCGAGTGCCCCGACATTGAACAATAGAGAGCAGAGCACCGCAACGGCCTAGATACGGTCGCAGCAAATCAATACCGAGGTTTGAGTGCCGCAGCGCCCCAAACAGGCGCTGTAGTGCTGCGAGACGGAGTGGATGGTTTACTTTCTCGTTTTTCTGAAGGGTTGCTTCCCTTGGGGTTATTTTACTTAGTTTTCTCTTGTATTTTGAATGTGTAGACATTGAGAACGGGACTATTTTGAGTTTTTCCACGTTAAATCCTAGTGTCCTTTATTTTTCCACTATTTTTACTTTCTTGCCTATTTCTTCATTGTGGTGTTTACTCCTCATACCCCAACATCATTGTACCACATATCCTTTCAATTTTTAGACTCACTTTTGTCATGCTTATGCTGTTGGCGTTATTTGAATTTTTGTGTCTAAGTTTTTGATTTAAAGTAAGCCTCTCTAATCACTTTCACTGCTTTACGATCATTTTATTCAGGGCTTCAATGGTGAACACATGGCTGGGGGGTGGGGCTAAGTAGAGGGGGCCCACACACTAATTAAATATTGTGTTGGAGGAAAAATTCAAATTAGGGCTGTTTAGGGATTTAACTTTTATCCTTTGCTTTGATTAGTCTGGTATTATTAGAGTTTGGATCATCTTGAATGAGTGAGAGATTTGAGATCTAGGGTTTGTTCTTTTGGGCTCTAGGCTTTGCTAGAGAATTGGAGAGTTGTTTCTTCCTCTTGAATTGAAGAAACTTGTAACTTGTATTGCTTTTCTTGTTCGTGGATTTAATAGAAAAGTTTTCCTTGTGTTTTCTCTCCAATCTTCTGAAATTCCTGCATCGTTTTACTGATTTCTCTCTGAAATCAACATATTTCTTACTGTTTTCATCAATTATTGATAGGTTTACTTGCGAACTCAAGTATTTCCCCTTAGGGTTACTTGCAAACTCAAATATTTCCTATCAGATTAGTTTCGCTTTCCATGCTTTTGTGACCACCTCGTCTAGAACATTCCATATTATAGATTGATTTAGAAATATCATTTGTTGTGTCAATTTCACATTCTAGTATTTTGCCATGCTTATGTCTTATGTTTTATGAGGCATTTGCCCTTCTTAGTTCTTTATGTGGATATGTTATTCCACCTCTAGTTCACAATCATGTCAACTTGATTGTCTTTGCTACCAAGTGCTGGTTAAAGTCATTATCAATATGGCTAGATTGTTTTAATCATTCTATTTTGCTTTTATCTCACTCCCAGTCTCATCAAATGTTTGTTCAACAACTGGTGAACCCTTAGCAGCTTGGTGGTAACATTTGTTTCTACTTTTTCTTGATCTGCTATTATGTCAATTTTGTTTCATGATAATGAAAGAAAGTAAGTTAACTTTTCAAACAGCATTGCACAAATGATGCATAATTTGCAATCTTAGATAAGTTGATAAATTTACCACGTTCAAAGTATAAGGCAACTGATCCACCTTCTGCTCCTTTATTTCGTCATTGAGGTTTTAGCCACACTTTTCATAAGTGCTGAAGAGAAGGCAACCTCCTTCTCAAATAGGAGGAGCCAAGGAAGGATTTAGGAGAGGAGAACTTTTAGACGTTGACGGTGAAGCTCTGTTGGAATGCTGTCATGATAGATGAAGACTTTCTACTAAAGTAGAATTTGCAGGCTTTAAGAGGAGGCTCCTCCCACGACTTAGCTCTCTTGTTGTCTTGGAATCGTTAATCATAATTTGTAAGTATTTGCTTTAAACCTCATGAAAGTAGGTTGGTGATTTCATCAATTCCTTCTCGTTGTGGGCGTTGGACATAAACTACCCCAAGTACATAGTCGCACTTGTCCATGCTTTTTTTTTTCTCCACTTTTTTTATATGTTATGTTAATTTTGTTGCATCTTTAAGAAAAATAAATACACTTCTCAATAGCACTTCATGCTTGATTCTTTATTTTCAATGAAGGATTAATATATAAATTACATCCCCAACATATAAAACTATAAAAGGTACTTACGGTGGTCTACATTTTCAAAGAACATTTATGCAATTTAATGAAATGTTAGGCTTGTGCATATTTTTTAAAATCACTTTAAAGATTGTTTTAATCATGATTAAATTTTCATAAGTCTTTGTGGGCTCCGAAAATTTCATAAGTGTGTGTGATCCCGGCCTCTCCGCGCCATCCGTCTATTTTTCTTTTATAAGTATTTGTGATGATGATGGCAGAGAGTTTTAACGAGATTAGGTTCCGGGGGAATTTTCAGAAGGCAGTTTGAGTTTTAGATAAGACACTACCCAGAGATTTCGCCCTCATTTTGTGAGGACTTTTTGATCTGAGTTCTGGTTTCCTATAGGCACAAGCTCCTATAGTTAATTACCTCTCTCGATAATAGGAGAGAACTTTCGATTAAGGCTAGTCATTAAGGATGTCATATGGATCATAAATCCAGTCTATAATAGCAACAATCTTAGGGTTTGAATTTTGAATTTGGATTTTAAAAATTAAAAATTTAAGATGAGCCCGATCAAGATCCAATGATTCCATCGTCCCGGGCTGTCATGATCCCTGTTCTACTTAGTCAGAGGTGGTAGTCGACCCAACCTGACAGAAGGCACCTTGTCGGCAGTCATGGGTTACTTCATCCAAGAATACCTTGTAGATCTGGGTTAGTATTTGTCTAAGGAGATATATCTGAAATCCACCTTAGCTGACAGAGGGTTTTATGTCTGTCAAATCTACTTTTTCAAGGGTTTGACTTCGTTAGAGAACATACAGGCTTTGAACGTGATCGTGATATAATGGTGTCATTTTGCGGCAAAATCACTCGATCAGAGGGCACGTGCCACGTCCCTGCTGGCAAGAGATTATTTGAGGATGAATCGTAGTGATACATTCGACACAGATTCACTCTTTGTGAGCTGAGATTAATTTCAAATTTATCACCCCTGACAAACGGTCGCGAGAGGTGAATTATTTTTAGTTTTAAGTTTTTAAGTAAAAGTTTTCATTTCAGAGATTTAGAATTTTGTTGAGTTTGAGATTTGGCCTCTTCGGTTGAGATTTCTTGTAAACATGGCCATCATCGGGGTGGCATTAAGGTCACTTGTATTTTTGTAGGATTTTGGAAGGCATTTTGTAATTCAAATTATATCGACTCCGGTCCTTTCAAGGAGGAGGATGAAACATGAATATTTGGCCCGCACAACATTCTTCAATCGTTGGATTTGGGACTTAGATGTAACGATCGGAGCACATGCAGGTGGTAGCATTTGACCCTACGCAACATTCTCGAACATTAGCATTTAGAAATTTATTGCATTTGTCAGAGCACATGCAAAGTGTAGCATTTGACCCTATGCAACATTCTCGGACATTATCATTTAGAAATTTATTGCATTTGTCAGAGCACATGCAGAGTGTAACATTTGACCCTGCGCAGCATTTTTGGACATTGTTGTTTATAATTTAACACGTTGACTGGAGCACATGCAGGGATATATTTAATTTTAGAGATCATATTTAATACATAAGGGGTATTTTAAAATATTTAAATATGATCCAATTTATGCAAGTGATTTTATTAGAAAATGACCTAGGATTTTATTTAAAGGCTTACGAAGGCCTTCTGTCTGCTTGTACACATGTTGCGGATCCGGTGATGTGTAGAGGAGAACCGGCGAGGTCGGATGCTTCGGCTTCGGCGTGCAGGTCGTCGGCGACAGGCTTGGCCGGGGCAAGTGTAGGTCAGGCTGGCTAGGTCGAATGCAGAGGCAGGCGTCGGGTTCAGTCGCTAGAAGAGGTGGAAGTTGGGCTCGGTGGCTAAAATCCGGTGAGTGCAAGCGGCTGAAGTTGGCCGGCGTGGTTGGACTCGGCTTTGCAGAAGATCGTGAGACCGAAAGGTATGTTGGTATGTCATCGAAACTTCTTGCTTGCGATTCTCTCAGAGCATTTTGTGCGTGAGAGCGTGAGTCGTGAGAGCGCCCGAATGGGGGAGCGGTGTTTTTGTGTCGTGAGTGGGGCGGTTGTGGGGCAGTTACTTGCGATCGTGGGTGGTTTCGATCTAAGCCGTGGGTTCATAGGGCTTCGGTCTACTGGGCAGTTGGAGCCAGCTTACAGGTCAACAGTCTTATATCCACAAATTAATTAGCAAATAGAAGTTATAAATAGAACATTGTGTAATTTATTAAGTTGCTTAGTGAATAAAAATATTACTGTTGGAATTTTCATTTACCAATGTATGTAGGAGGAACATTTTAAAAAATTACGAAAAAAATCCATTTGAAATTATTTATGGTTATAATCCCGAGAGGTCCATTGATCCGAAATATATTCTATCATATACATTTTTAGATGGTACCTATGTTGCACCAATACACCTATTTATAGAGGTGTGCTGTATCTGATACACCGATACGGCACTGATACGTGTCGGATACGGCTTTGTCGTATCCAATTAAAATACTATTTAATTTCAAAAGGACATGCGTATCTGATACGTGTATCCGTTGAAAAACAAAAACAAATCCGAAAAAAAGACTAGTCGTATTTACTTCTGCGGTTGCGAGCGAGGTTCTCTCATTTTCGAGATGGATTTGAGTCTCTTGATGTTATGAGAATATTAAAAGTTGCTAATCTTTCACTTGATGAGCCTAAATTAGAAGCTGTGAAATTTATTAAAGATAATATAGAAGTTCAAAGACAAATCACTGAAGAAGCTAATCATATCATTCCTTTTATTGAATAGTTAAAACTTCATGTGCTAGACAATTTATGTTTATGCTTTTGTTGTTGTACTAGACATTTAATACTTACTTTTATTTTGAAATTGTAAGCTACAAGGCTACAAATGATATTACTTTTATTTTTTTTTTTGTAATTTTAAATATTATGCTTTGATTGCTTTCTTAATTTTATGTATGATTTATAAATTATAATATCGTGTCTGCGCCATACGCGTATCCTGTATTTTTAAGAATAGACGTGTCTCGTACCCGTATTGTGTCATATCCGTGTCACCGTATCCGTATCGGTGTAACATAAGATGGTACATTTGCATTTGTATATGATTTATATTGTCCTCATACATATGAAAAACTTTGAATTGAAGTAATGATAAATATGCTAAAAGTGTAAATACAAACACATTCAACAAGAGTATTTGATGAGGGTGAATCTTTAATTCACATTTATCTCAATGCTACAGCACCACTAAATATAAAAAGTTAGATGTCAGGGCTAGTGACCCCTTCAAATTTGTTAGGAAACTTGTGCAAATGTTTATTTAGTTGAATGTCTCTTGATATGTTTATAGTCTACTTTTTAATGTAGAAAATATTATCCATATAGACCTTGGAATTCACAAATTAACTCTTGCAGAAGGTCAAGATAATCAATCACAGGTGCCTCTCCATCCAAATTTCCTGGAGGTTGAATGTATCATTTCAGATGAAGCTCCATCATCTTCAGATTCCTCTACAGGTTTTTAGTCAAATGGAAGAATTAACCTCTTTTTGACAACACTTGGATTACTAACAGACCTGAATATGCTTGAACCAGAACTAGTGGATGCCTGGATGGCTATCATAATTTTAACTTTGTATAGATTCAATGCAACATGACTTTTCTTTTTGGGATCACAAGTGCGAGCTATTATTCTGTGCAGATGCCCGGACGGTTCTCCCGTCCGGTTACGCGCTCGGTACTGAGCGCTCTACATTTTTGAGGCGGCGTGGTGCATTTTTATTGGTCTCCGGACGTTTCCGGACGCCGCTCATAATAATTTTTCCACAAGCGCAGTTTCAGTTCAGCTGACTTTTCTTTTTGGGATCACAAGTGCAGTTTCAGTTCAGCTAACTTTTCTTTTTGAGGGCAATAATTAACTATCCGGCTGAAGTTTTCAATTAATTGAGTCATTTCTTAGACAGTCATGTTCAATGCTTTGCCTGTCCCCCACAGCTGTCTGTGCCAGTGCAGCCAAGTTTCCCTGCATTCACTTTTGTAACAGCTTTAATTTGAAAGTTTTTTTCTTTTGTTCTTGATAATCTAAAGGTTACTGTTTATCCCACTTGAGATATTAACAGTTTACCACCTCATATTTTCTCTATTCCATATGTTATACTCCTCAATATGTACCCCATTCAATATCCTATTACATTTTCTTTCATCAGTCTTTCACCTGTGTGCAGGGGACATTTAGGCCAATTAAGTCAAACTCACACACACATCACATATATAAAACTCGAACCCACGACCTATTGATTGATAGTCAAAGCTCCCAACTAACAGATCAAGGTGAGCTGCGTTACTTTCTCCTCTCACACTTGCCCTAGTGCAAATTGTTGGGGATGAGGAGTAAACACCACAATGATGAAACAAACAAGAAAGTAAAAGCAACGTAAAGTAAATGACATCAGGATTTAATATGGAAAAACCCAAATTAGGGAAAAACCCAAGGAGACGCACCAAGAAATACACTATGAAAATTAGGAGCAAAAAGTACATATCTCTCTTCTCTCTCACTCTTTTATTGCTTCTCTTCTCACATGCACCGTTCTCAATGTTTAACCTTACAGAAATGTAAGAGAAAGCCAAGTAATTAATCCCAAGAGACGCTACCCTTCTGAAAAACGAGAAAGAAAACCATCCAGTTAGTCTCGTAGCACTGCGGCGTCAGTTTGGAACGTTGCAGCTCTCAAACCTTTCTCTTGATCCATTGCGGTGCCTTATCTAGATCGCTGCGGCGCTCCACCTTCTGTCATTTTGTGTTGGGGCGCTCGGGAGCACAATGCCGGAACGTTCGGGTACACATCGCTAGGGCGTTGTATGGAGGGAAAAAAATTAGACTTGGGGTAAACCCCCTACACCCCCCTTGCAAGAACGACAAACTTGAAGTTCGAGGCAATAGAACATTCCGATTGATCAACACAATCATATTTCACACATAACACAATTCATTTACATGTACCTCAAATGTCGTTTTTCTTTTGCTACAGAAACTATCGTCAGATTCATCTTAAAGGCTCATCATTTATCAAAGAAATGGATAGCAACACAACGACAGAATGTTTTTACATTTTGTACAGGGATGGTCCATCTCTCATATACTATTTATCTGAGTAATCCCCATACTTTGTATTTAATCATCTGAAGCTTACTGCTACTGCCACAGCCATTCTATGAGGACATTGTGGTCCAACAATCATATGGACAAGCTCAACTAATTTTATGCCAGAAGACGATGCTTCTCCTGTAGCATGATATAAACAGAAAATTGGAGCAGGAAAGAAAAAATTTTAGGCTCTTCTGCGGCATTATTATTGGAGAAATTATTTTGCCTGGACGCCGGGAATAGTTTATCGTCCGAAGATCAATCAGAATGCCCCACATCGTCAGTACCGAGCCGGATACCGAGCTGGGTGTGACGTAACGCATTCTGGTTGATCTCTGGATGGTGTTCGACATCCGCACTGAATAATTTTATTGACATGCACAAGCAAGTGCACTTTATTTTGATGTTATATTATGGTCTAGTAGCTTTTTTTTATAATTTTATTTAATTTTATAAAATTATGATGAGAATTGCAATGTTTTATGATGTAAAATATTAGACATTAAAAGAGAAGCATAAAATTAAGTAAAGAGTTGCGTAGACAAGAACGCACAGGTGGATGAGTGGCTTTATTCTTAGAGACAGAATGCTTAACGAGTATATATTTGAAAAAGTTGGAGTTGCTCCAGTGGCAGATAAGATTAGAAAGAGTCTCCTTAGATGATTTGGTCACGGCCCTCCGCTGATCCGATTAGGAGAGTAAATATATTAGATTTGACTTATATCAAAAAAGTTAGCGGTGGACCTAAAAATTTTATAATAATTTTTTTACAATCATATCTACTATACAATAGTAATTATAAGGTATTATTTCAAACGGATCTTAAAAAATCTCATGTGCAGGCCTGCTTGCGTTGGTGCTGCAACACCGAGAGGCCACGTTTGAGCTTGCCAACAGGCAACAACTGGAAGAAAAGGAATTAAAGAATTGGATGCTTGAATTTCGCCATGACAGCACAGAGAGCTTTCTTTCTTTCTTTCTGATTATTACATTCATTAGATCCATTCATGTTCGAGCTTCTTAATTAATTAGTGCCTGATCGTACTATTATTTTATAGATCAACGTGTATTCTGAAGAATCTCATCATATTTTTTTTATTAGATGAATATTGTGGATGTGTCCTCCAAAGTCCCGCGAATTATTACGTCCGGTCACCGGACGTCCGGACACACAATCCAGATGCGCCACGTCATCCGAATAGATTGAGTCCCGGTGTATTTTGGTGACGTGGCGCGTTTGGATTAGTGTCCGGACGAATCCGGACACCGGATGTAATAATTTGCCCCAAAGTCCAGACTAGGAATCCCTTGGACAAAATTTTCATTCAGAATATTATGAATAAAATTTGATTATGAGAGCCTTTTAGTTAATGAATTTATTTTTTGAAATAAGTTTAAAGTAAGCTTTAATTAATCAATTAATTATAATATATTTAAAAATGAATTTAAAATTAGTTGAATATGATTAACGATGGAATCAGCCTTTCTTTTCAGGGCGGGCAAAATAAGATTACGGTATGATTATTTTATCCAAGAAAAATAATTTCAAAGTGAGAAATTGCTCATCCTAAGCTCTTTCTAGATCTGCCCCTAAACATGATTTCATTTTACTGCACGAAAAATAACTATAATCTAATTTCACGGGCTGGAAACAAGCGAAGTTGAACCGCTGACATCTGCCACATGGTAAACCACCGCCTCTCAGGCCTCTCCGATTGATTCTACATAGCCTACAACTTTCATCATGCTGTACTCTCCAAACAACAACTCTTCTCAAAATCTCAAAGGGTTCTAATAAATTGATAAATCATGTTGCATTAGCAAAAATAATCTAAATAAAAAACTAATTATATTTTGCTATATCATTTCATTTAAATAAAAAAGAACCATTCAAGCTTTTCATAAAATAAATAAAATAATTTTAATTATTATTATTTCTTATAACCAACCGACCGCCCATATACCTTTAGCAGATATAATCCAAATAAAATGGGATCAAACCCACACCCTCTTAAGTCTTAATTATAATAATAATCCCTTAATTTGGATCTAACATTGGAATTAGCATCAACATAAAGCAAACAACCCATTGCTCCAAAGCTCCAAATGACTTAATTAATTAACAAAGCCTTATTAATGAACCTTTGTTGTGAAAGTGGGAGACCAAAATAGAGACAGCACCCTCTTTCACCCCTATCCAATAAAAAGGAAATCCCCTCCAATTTTGACCGGACTTCAAAAGCATAACAGTCAGCCAATCCTAACCTTACACGTGTACCTCACTTCCTTGAATGGGGGCATGTGAGTGACAGCCATAGCTTTAGATGCAATTTAAAGCAGGATTAGGCTAATAAGTGTTGAACTCCTATGAGGCCACGTTCTTATCTTAATGAATGTATTAGTCAAATCACAGCTTTAATCCTCCAGCCTTGCAATCTAATTAAATAACCTTTTTAGGGAGTCTTCTAGTGCAAATTATCTCAAGGCTTTTTTTGTTAGGGTTAGGGTTAGGGTTAGAGTTAGGGTTGTCCAATCAATTTTATGATTATTTTTATTGCAAAATAGGATTCAATCTTTTATCTTTGGGCAACAGTTGTAGAATTCACTTTTGACAATATTTGCTTATTAATTAGAAAGCATGATAAGTTTTTCGTTTGCTCCTGAATGTACTCGTAATGATGGCTGTTATCACACACACAAGTTATAGTTGTAGTTTTAGAGTTTCTTAATCTGATGAGGTAGAGATAACATATGCATCATAATTGACGAGAAGGTTTAGGTATTTGCTTACATCTTCTTTTAACTTCTTAAGTTCAAGGCGGGGGTCCACATTGGCTTCCTTTCGGTACGTAGGAATGCTTTTGGCTTGTCAATAATATCATTTTTTTTACAAGCCAATAGAGATCAAAGCCTTGACTTGTAAAATCATTGTTTGAATCTTTAGCTTGAAGTGTTTTGAGAAGGGAAGCATGCTGTCCTTATCAATATCTCTAATAACCTCAATGATGTCTAAGGCTTCGTTTGAGATGGCCTTCATACTGCTTCTTAAAGTAACTTTCTAGTACAAAAATTAAATTTTTGTACTATAAAGCTAGTTTAAAAAGAGAATGGGCGACGAAGTTCTAGTACAACAAGCTTTACAATTCGCTACACCCGTACCAACAAACCCTAAATTATCTCTCATAATACATAAATATCAAAACAAAACTAATTGTGATCATTAAAAAAAGTGTTAAATCCTGACCGTACAACTCAAAGAACTGCCTAGCTAGCTTTGAGCTTTCCTTACTCTTGCATAGAAGATTGTGGGGACATTTCCTCTCTAGCTAGCTCTTCAGCTTTCTTAGTTCCATAGCTCCTCTCATCCTTCAATTATTTGAATGCCTTATTGGCGCTTATGAGTTGTCGCAGTCCACCAAATTGTAAATTAAAAATAATAATAATTAAATTTTCTCTGCTTTGATTAGATACAGAGATATGATTGCGAGCAGGTTAGATTTTCCAATCCTATCTATACATGCAATGCATTCTGGCAATGACACGACATTTTATTTTGTTCATATTAATACTTACAAAAAATAATGATTTCGATTGTATTATTTGCTCTATGAAATAAAATCTCAATCAATTTCCACATAATTATCATTTGATGTGATATAACTCATTAATGAAGACAAAATAGCTTTAGCTTCCACCTTTAAACTCTTATGAAAGTTATTAATTACTAATTATTATAAAAATATGTTAAATATTTCCGAAAATTAATAATCATTAATTATTTATAATAATAGTTGTCATGTCAAGAGCATGAAATAAATTTTAATTAGCTTCATAATTTTATAGAAGGGAAGAAACAGCTCCTGATAGAAGAAAGCAAGTTCTCTAAGAACTTTCATAAGGTAAATTTATAGGAAGGTCTTGAACAAACAAAAATTATTATGTGCCAACGTCAAATACCGTTTAGAGACCAATCATAATGTGTCACATCACCCTT